CACCACTTTTGTAGAGAAAATATAAAATTTGCTATTTTGGATTAAGAGCTAAACGTGAAGCGAACGGATCGTTTATTAGTAGAAGAGTTAAACTTCTGTTCAGCAAAATTGACCTCCACAACCTGACAGCTTGTAGCCTAGATCCTAATTTTTTTAGAGAGTGAAAATAATGCATATGTCATTCGTTTTACAAACTGATTTGATTTATAGTGTCGCATTAAGTACATACATATGTATATCACATTTAAAAACAAATTAGAAATAGACAGAGAGCGACAAAGAATATTGGTCTCGGCCATGGAAATTCTTACGACAAGACATAATTTCCTATGAACGATAAAGTTAGATCAATGGGTTTTGGCGTGCACGCCACAACGTATAAGCTGCCGAAATAATTAAAACAGACAGCAATGCATAGTGATATGACATCACTGCCAATGTCGTTTCATATTACATTCATACTGTTTAGATTCATATAGAAAAAATATAGACAAAGGTAACGATATATTTTATGGTATTTTCTAATTGCAGTTTTGATGACGTGCACGCCAAGATCGGTTGAATCTAGTATAAATAATTACTTACCCACAGTTTGTTGAATGATTTTCGCCTCCTTCTTAGAATTCGACTTCTGTACCTGTGGGGCGGGTATTTGATGTCCAGTAGTGTTCTCTTTAAGCCTGTCATTAAATTCTTGCTGCCAATCCGTCTCACATTCTGGCGGAGGAGGAGGCAAAGGTTCATCGCTGCTAAATACCTCATCCTCTATAACAGTAGGAGGAGAGGGAGGAGGTAAATCAGGACTTGGCACTCTTTGATCCTGGAACAAATCTGGAAAGGCTGTTCGCAAATGCGGATTTTTAGGAGGCCTGGCCGGGGGTTTCTCTGGCACCCAGTCATCAACGGATATCGAGGGGCCCATTATGACTGGCCCCAGCATATCAGTTGCTAAACTTCCACAAGAGTTGCTATGTTGATGTCTTGGAATCGTCTTGCTGATGTTGTCGGTGGTTTTTGATTCTAAGTTAGAAGACAAGCTGTTTCTCTTTGAGTTGTTGCCAGATGCGTAGTCAGAAGCTGAAGATGCTCTTCGCGATGGCATTTGTACTTTAACCTTTGGTGGAGGTTGGGGGACGCTTAGCTGTGTTGATTGAGCGAGTTGGGGTTCAGACCGCCAAGTGTTCTTATTAGGGTTGTTGTGGTGTCGTTCGTAGAAGGATAGTAGGGCTTTCTTTTGTATCGCTTTAAGGGTTGGGTCTGGAATCTTGTGTTTCTTGTCGGGGTCTAAATACGAGTATTTCTGTTGCTTTTCTAATTCGCTTATTCTATCCGCTACTGAGAGAGCTGATTGCAGTGATAACGATAACCTAAAAAAACAAAAATAATGAGTTTGATTATAGCATCATTAAAGACAATTGAGGTTGTTTGCAGTAAATCATATGAACAAACGAAATGCCGAGTATTAAATGCGACAGATTTTGATCTAAAATGATCAATGATATTGTAAAAATTAGAATAAATCTTCTACGGTAAACTAGAAGCTTTTTCTTTAAATATAAAAATCACCAACTCATAATTGTGTGTTGGATATAATTGTAGCATAGAACGATTGGTTTAGTGTTATTCCACAGAAAAACCCAAAAGAATAACTTGAAACTTTTCGAGAAATGCAAATATATCGAAAATTAGGATCGACAAAGTGGGCCCTTCATTCGCGGACATCCAAAAATAAATATTGTTTGCTAATTGCAGAATAAATTCAATCAATGAGCAGCTGAAATTAGTAATATTTTGTTCAGCACACTACTTAATTAAAATGGACGAATTTAAAATCTATTTGAATTTAAGTAGTAAAAATTCTTTTTACTGAAAATGCAATAACAAACCACTTGAAAATAATTATTTATGTTATTCACTTGTCAACTACTTTAGAAGCGAATTAGTTGATATTACACATATTTCCTATCATTAGACATATTACTAAAAAGTACTAGATGACATAATCCATTTTGAAATAATTATAAAACACTGTTTTTTATTTATCTAATTTTCACTTTTATTTTTAATTTTACGATTAATTTCATCATTTTCAGGTAACTAAAAAATACGACTTATAGTTTCGGTACAAATTAAGGGCAAATAAGTTTATGGTTGATTTTTCTGTGTACAGATGCTGTCTTAAAAGCATAGGGGAGAGGTAGTAAATTATATTTTCGGTTAAATTTTTTTTATCTTAACGAAAAAGTTTACTGAACAAATTTAATAAAGGAATTATTTATATTTATCTGAGAGTTTAATATGTTATAATTTTTATTTTTGGATAATTTATCTATTTCAAAGCTACTAGTTTTTTTTACCTTTTTCACAAATATTAACATTTTTGGCAAATATTATTAGTTATAGTATGGCTTGAATCAATTAAATGTTGATAAAAGTTGGAGTGTTGTTTTTGTGCGTGAATATGCTCTCAATATCTTATATCAAATGATCTAACTGTTTGATCTATACATGATGCATTACATTCTGGACAATTTAACCTATATACCCCACACTTTTGGTAATATTCTGTTTTTTTCTTTTGCATTGTACAAAAGTCTGCTTACATTTTTGTTCGAACTGAATGATATTTTTATATTAAATTTTGAAAAGGTATTACTGATCGAATTAGCGAGGAGTCTGCATATGGTACTGAAATATGTTTTGCCTTTTTTTACTTTATTAATTTCCTTTAAGACAATGTTAAAAACAGTGCTGTGCTGTGCTCTGTGTTGAGCTATATTATAGCTTATGCATAGTATTATATTAACATTTTTTTATATCGCATGTCACGGATGTTTATAAAAATTCCCTCATTACTAACTAAAATCATAGAAAAAACTGTGAAAATCAAAAATATTTCTATGCACTAGCCATATATGGATTTTCAGCGGATAGTGTGAAAGTAATAATTAAACGGGCTATCGATATTTTGATATTAAACGGGACTATCGATATATCGATAGTTCTGCACTTCTATTCATAGAATCCGATGAGAATAAGAGGTAATCGGGTAAATAAAGAAATTATAAGTTGATTTTTAACTGTAATTCTCAAGATGCGACAGTCTCGCTTGACCAAATCTGTAATACAGATTTATTTTTTATGTGTAATAGAAGTGCATAAATATAAAAAAAAACTGAGTAGATTGAATTATCGGTGCGTTAAAAGTTTAATAACATCATAATAACGGAAAACTGCAGTGTAATTTCAATTACATGAATAAAATTAACATTTATTTTATAAAGAATAAAAATGAACACTGAGCAATAATTACAATTTCCGATAGATGTATAAACTGTTGTCATATGTCATTTGCCTGGTGATTTATTTGCAATTTGCATACTTAATTTATTGTAAAAACAGTTCTAAGAAATTACTTTATAATAAACTAAACTAGTTCTTATATAAGAAAAAAAATTATTTGCATATACATATAATAAAAGACCGATACTGGAAGTAATTGTTGATTAAGTTGAACCTACTAATCTATTGTTATATTTAATTATAAAATCATATATTATTATTACAGTAGGCTTCCAATTAACATATGACGGTTAAGAACATGACATATTTCTAATTTTTTTAATAACATAATAATTTCGCGAGGCTGAGTTTACGAATGATTAATGAAATACATGTTTGTTATAAGGTAATAACATATGCCGCTTGTTTATAGGTAAACGCAAGAAAGAAAGTGATTGCTTAAATTCTTTCATCATAAAGGTCTATTCATAGTAGGAGCATCGAGCGCCGCGTCGCGTTCGCGTTGGGTCAAGCGTTGCGTTTGCGTCGCGTCATGCAACGTTGTGTAAACGTCGCGCAGGTATATTCAGTACAGCGTCTACCGTGCTTTGAACAAGCAAGCTCAGTTTACAAAATGGCTCCAACGAGAGTAGTTCGTTTAATGCTCTTGTTTGAGACACCGCATCATACTTACAAGTTAAAGAAAAGAGTTAGGATTTACTCTATAAACAGGGAAAGATAAGTATTTGGTGAATTTCACCATTTGTATCACAAGCTAAGAAAGTTTCCACGAAAACTATCGATATATCGATAATCATCGATGTCTAAAACTATGGATATCTCGAATTTATTGATATATTTTCGGTTATCGATATTCGATAATAAATTATCAATATCGTTTACCACTACTGCCAAGTCTTCGAAATAACCATTTGAAATTTTGGAATTTTGTATTAGGTAAGAGAGACGAGCCTCTATAGTTTATCGTGGAGTTCGACCCACACTTAGTATGAACAGTTATATATTTCACCTTAGTCGGAAACAAATTTCAAATATATTTTTAATTGTCTCACGGTGGGATCGAACTAACGTATACCAGTATGCAACTGCATACCAAATATTTACTAACATTTGTTAGGCTGATGCCCGGCCATAATGCCGTGGTGGGCTTTGCCGTATATTTTGTCACACACAGGGTCTTACGAGAGGTGTCATAACTGCAACTTAGCCACGGATATAGAATTTTATGTGCATGTGATGCCGTATTTTCTAAGAATCACGCATATATAACATAAGGACACTTGGGTGGTTAATGAAAACGGCATGTTTCTACAATGTGTGAATCAGTGTTCACGTTTACAAGGTAGATGTCAGAACGGCACAAAACGTAAATATATAAAATTCATTCGTTCAACTGCTACGATTTCGTTATACTTGCGTGATTAAAAACGTTGCCATTTATGTCAAGCCGTATTTCTTAAGAATCGCACATCTGTGGTGTGCGACACGAATAACACACTAGCGTGATGACATTTGGGTGGGTTGGTGACAAGGGCATGTTTCTACAATGTGTGATTCAGTGTTTACGTACACAAGATGGAAGTTATAACAGCATAAAACATAAATATATATTAATTTGTTCAATTGCTCATCGACTTCACGTTATTGATTATCGCGTACCTACTGAGCGTGATTATTAGAGAACACGGCTTTAATGTGGTTTCGTGGTCGAGTGGTAGTGACGCTTGGCTCTCACCCTGTAATCCCGGGTTCGATCCCCGGTCGAAAAGTTAGAATTTTTTTCTACCCCAGAGCATACTCGGACATTGGGTGTGTGTCCATTATCTCTAAATGTGTAACCCTCTCCCACACAAGGTACCTTGAGATACATTCAGGGATACAGGGGGTTGTATTACCTGTGGTGTTTAATTTAATTTAAAGAAATGTAAAGCAGTGCTTGGTGCGGTGCGAAAGAGACGCGAGGCTAGAGCCGCAAATCTGTGGTCGGTTTAGCCACGTGATTGACGCGACCTACGAGAGCTGTCATATCTGCAGCTTAGTCGCAAACATGGAAACTCACGCTCTTCAGCCGCAGCAACAGTTGATTTCGCAGCATTTATTGTGATGGATTGAAGACCGGCGACAGGCTTGCTACGCGGCGGTGCTGCGGCGCAAATATCTTTCCTAGTGTTTACTGATGGTAGTTCTTCTAAGTTTTATTATACATAGTTTTTTACATTGAAAAGGTGTCTTCTGCGAAACTTTTTTTTGCATTTTTTTTTAAACATGCATATTATGTTTATATTATGTTTTCTCTTGCGAACTCAAATCTGGCTCTGGTTTTGTAGAATTTATGAAATGTAGAAACAAATAATAATAATAAACGATACAAACCACGAAAAGGTTCATAAATTTAACATACCTATTATTAGAAGTGTTACTAATTCCGCCACTAGGATGATCAGTTTCTTGCACCGTATAAGTATTTACAGGAAACAATTTTAGTTTATTCGCGTTATTGTTTCTACTTTCTCTGTCTTTCCACACTACACTACCGTCTTTTGATTCTGCTCCCATATACAAAACACTTTCCGAATGATGTCTTTGAGGGGTTTGAACCCTAGCACTGTGCGCGATGAGTTGTCTCGTCGAAGAGTTATTGGCAAGATGGGAACTGCTGTGCGAGGTCACGGACACGTCACTCATGGAACCGTGCCATTTCAGGGTTTCACTAGATGAGGCACTGCCCGAACTGGTGGTCACTACACTGTCTCTACCCTCCCGTCTTAAGCTGGGTTCTTCCTGACTTAATTCGTCCCACGTGTTCGAAGAAAGGGTTACCACCGCTTCACTGTCCCTTCTGAGCCGATCTAAAAAAAGGGGTTGACGTTGAGTCTGTGCTTGATACGTAACTGTGGTAGCCCTCAGATTGAGCATAAGATATCTGCTTTTGGTGGAGATGGTTCAGCATGCCTTCTTCGTGTTTGGAGTTCATGGAGTTGAAGAGGGAGTCTTCGTAACTGCGTGTATATTCCATGAATTCTTCCAGTCCTAGAATATATAAAGAAAGTAAATAAATATGTAGGATGAAAAATGAGCTTAAAAATAGATGACTATTGATTTTTAATATAAATATCTCAATAACAGAGAACAATTTTAAGAAATCATTGTATTATTGTTTCATCACATATCAAAATTTTAATATCTGTATCATTTGCCAGTTTATTAAAAACACGAGGTGTCAACGTTGCCTGTAATTTTATGTGTTAGATCTACATGGTATTTAGGACGAATTGTTTGTTTTTGTTTTTTTAAAATAACTAACAAAAAAATGTTAACAGCGATTTTATTTAAGTTGGATACCTAGTAAACACGTACCCTTAATGTTATTCTATCCCCACCTATTTTAACGTCCGGTCTAAAGTACGATACAAGTATAATCTAATTCCAGTAGTCAACCTCTAAATGCCGCGGCTGTTGTACGGATACTTCGGAGAATATTGTCAAAGAGTTATTGTAGAACGATGAATAAAGGAGTTCCCGAAGTTAGCCTTTGACTGCACAGACTTCAATGCTAATGTGAGAAAATATTGTCATGGGCAGTGAAAACACAGATTTTACAGTATGTTGCAACTGAAAATCATAAAACACTTGTGAGTGGGAGTAACAGTGCTACTGAAAGACAAAAACAATTTAATTTAGACTTAGTTCAAATAATGGCGGCGTGTAACAATGCGTGGACCAAATTATATAACCCTATGTTAAACTTGTAAAATGTGTTAGTGAAGTGAGGAATCCACATTAAGGAATCATTATATATCGACGGTGTGTAACAGAATTAAAGCAGAAATTGTTTCTGAGACAAGCACATATAGATTAGTGTAGATGAAACGGCCGACGTTAGTGGTCTGAACATCGCAAATGTATTGATTAGAGGGATGGATGAGACAGTGTCAATGCCAGCCCGCTTAATATCAACAACGATGTTAGAACGCACAAATGCAGAAACGGTATGTGAATATATGTATGCATGTGTTTACACCGGTATCCTGGATTCGCCCCTGATATTGACACCATATAATATTCGGATCTGGGCTCTAGTTATAATACAGTGTTGCTGAGGGTGGATTTTAGGGAGGGGCAAATATAAAAAGAACATAATTAACTTGCATTCAAACGTTACACTTAACAGCTAAAATCTTCGGTGGGTACTTTAACATGTTTAATGGGAAAAAAAAATAAAAAAACCAAAATTTAAAATGCTTGTTGACGACGACTAACAATCTATTTGCTGCATCATAACAAAGGGGCCCCACGTCATTTATCTATCTTTTGTCGGTATGCCGCAAACTGATTGTTTTTCGCCGTCATAATAAAATATTTACTGCTTTTTTTTGTTATCTCTTATTTTTATATATATATATTTAAAAATTTTTTTTTTATATATACATATATGTATATATCATATTGCAGCAATAACAGCTAGTTGTTAATCAAAACAATATTCAGCAGGTCAATAATAACAACATTTCAATGACAGGTGAAGTGCACCTTATTTTACATCAAGTTTCTCCTTTGTAATTTTGATTATGTAAATATTATGACAAGAGAACACGAGCACGTGTCGTAATACATTTAGTAGCAAATGGAAAATAAACAAACTGCTGGAATAGCACTGAGGAATGTGGGGAGAGGTGAAAAGTACCAGTCGTAATTTTTTACTTCGTTGCAAACCAGAGTAATGTAATTTCCGTCA